CTTCAGGAGTCGTTGTCTCAATTTCCTGTTTTATTGCTTGTCTGTGATGAGAGAAAAATCGACGCAGCAGCCAAAAAGCCAAAGTGAAATCGACGACCACAGCAGCAGCAGAAAACATCTTTGCCGGTACAGTTCAGCTGAGGGAGGCGGGCAGGCTATAAAAGAGACTGTACTGGCCTGCTCTCCGGACCACTGCTTCACTGTCACTCGGCCACTCCACTTTGAAAAACTACTTCTCGTGTGCCAACAACGTTTTACAAGACACTTAAATTGATGTTCAAGGTAAGCTAGGTGCAGCCGCATCTGCGGCCATCATCAGTGCTCATCATCACGCCCACCTGCTCAATCTCAATTCACATTATTAGACAGAACTACTACTGGTGCTGGGTCTGGCCGGCACCCTTTGCCTCGCCCAGAAGATCAAGTACAAGTCAATGCGCATCGGCGACACCGAGGTGCCGGAGATGGAGATTCAGCTAAGCGATCCAGCGCCCTACGACTGGAAGAACCAGCCGGCGCCGCCCAAGCCGTACATCAGCAACTTCAAGATTGAGACGCCGCCTTCCTCGGCCCAGGACGAACCGGAGGTGCCCCAGAAGCCGCAGCCCTTTTCCTTTGGCTTCATGAGCATGGCCAAGGACGGACAGCAGTCGAGAATGGTTAATTTTTTTTATAAAAGATAATCATTATAAACCTTTTTAAAAGTTGAAAGGACAGAGACTCATGCTCGTTTCTGTCCTTTCAACTGTTTTCTAACTGTTTCCTTTTAACTCATGCTGTAGGAAAGCCAAGATGCGAGTGGTCGTGTCACCGGCAGCTACAGCATCGTCGACGCCAATGGAATCACGCGCNATAAAAGATAATCATTATAAACCTTTTTAAAAGTTGAAAGGACAGAGACTCATGCTCGTTTCTGTTCTTTCAACTGTTTTCTAACTGTTTCCTTTTAACTCATGCTGTAGGAAAGCCAAGATGCGAGTGGTCGTGTCACCGGCAGCTACAGCATCGTCGACGCCAATGGAATCACGCGCATTGTCGAGTACTACGCTGATGACACTGGTAATTTTTTTTGTCTGTTTAGAAAAATGCCATTTTCAAACAAACTCTCTCTCTCTTTCTCCGACTAACAGGTTTCCACGCCAATATAAAGTCAAATGAAAACGGCATCGAGACCGGCGAACTGGGATCAGCCACCATCACCAAGCTGTAAAGTTCTCCCCCTTTATCTCCACCTTCCAAAGCCAAAGCCAAAATTCATCGAAGATACTCAAATTAACACAATTAGCAACTTCACCATCTCTCATCATATTTTGCCATTTTGCTGTAGTTGAATGATATTATAGAATTCTGATGATAAAAATCAAATAAAAAACATTTTACTCGCAAATCTTGTTTTTCCTGTAATTTGAGGGATTTCCCCACTAACACACATTTACCAAGACATCAGCAAAGTGATGCGACACCGGCTGACCTTGAAGAAGTGACTGTGCATGTTCTCTCCCAGTGACGGCCAATGTCTGTGCGCAGGGATATAAATAAACAAACAAACAAGCGACCATAAAGCATAAATAATTCATAATTATGTACAAAGCGCCAAAAAGGGTGAAAATCACAAAAGCTGTACATGGAAGGTGTTTGTTTGTGTGAGCTTGGCTTGAAAATAACCTTTTCTACAGTGAATTAAATGGCGTTATTAATTTGAAGAAGTTTCCTAGAGAGTGTCGCCAATGACTCAGTAGCCTCGAAGACCGTTGTAGGCGAGCGCCTTGGTCGCTTCCAGGTCAAAGATTTGCCTAATCTGGGCGCGCTTCTCCTCGTCCAGCGCCTCGCCCTTGGGAAACTCCACGTCAAAGGTAATGTAGAGAATGCCGTGGAGGTTGTTGTTCTCGTAGTTTGGCATGCCTTCGCCGGTCTTGCGCATCCTTGCCCCGGGCCAGGTAATCTTGTCGCGGCTGATGTGCACCTGGTGGCCGTCCAGGTGGGTGATGTTCATCTGGAAGCCCACCAGTGCGTCCACCAGTGAGATGGTGACGTTCGTGTAGAGGTCATCGCCACGTCGCTCAAAGACGGTGTGTGGCATGGTGCGAATGCGAAGTCGCAGGTCGCCGGGCTCGCCGTCAACGTGAGGTTCACCTACAACAACAAAGGGGATTGAGTGTTAATCAAATGCTGCCAATACAGACACTGATGGGGATGAGCGAAGAACACATACCTTCGGCGACAAATCGCTGCTCCTGACCGTCCTCCATGCCCGGCTCAATCTCCACCTCGAGCGTCTTCTCCTCGTTGCTCAGCTTCACATTTGGACACTCATCGCAGACCTGCTGCTGCATCATCTGGAAGCGTCCGGGGCCCAGCTGGCGGGTGACCATCTCCTGGCGGCAGTTGCACTTTCTCGTCCCTGAAGCCGGTCGGTAGACGACCTTATTGCGAACTAGCTCCACAAAGTTGCCGCTGTAGAGTTCTTCGAGGGAGACAAAGAGGTCCATCACCACGTCGGCTCCCTTGGGCGTCTCTCGCTCTTCACGTCGGCCGCCACCGCCGCCAAAGTCGAAAAAGTTAAAGTCGCCGCCAAAGAAGCTAGAGAAGGGATCGCTGCCGCCTCCCATAGAGTCCTTCAGGCCCTCCTCTCCGTATCGATCATATGTTTTTCTCTTCTCGGCATCGGAGAGCACCTCGTAGGCAGCTCCCAAGTCTTGGAACTTTCTCGTCGCCTCCTCATCACCCTTATTTTTGTCCGGGTGAAGCTCCTTGGCCAACTTTCGGTAGGCCTTCTTAATCTGATTGATATTGGCACTTTTTGAGACTCCAAGAATTTTATAAAAGTCTCGCCTGCAAAAAAGATAAATCAGTAAAACATTTCACCCAAAACAAACCAAGTAAAAAGGACATACCCGGCTTGTGCAATCACAATAAAGATGAGTAAAATGACGAGAAGAGCATTTATAAACAGACACGACGCCGAAAGGAGCTTCATCTCGACTTTGGTATTCTTCTGTTCAGTCTAGTTTTTCAGATGGTCGGTGGTTATCTGTACAACTGTTGAGGAGGTGTTGATGATGGTTGTGATGATGACGGCGGTTAATGGTTTATATCACATGAGAAGAATATGAAGTGCGCTAAGCACACATCAGCATAGCGGCAGGCCAAATCGATGTTCGGGGCAGTGCTCAATCAGTTTCGAGCAGATGTCATTTCGACGACTTGTCTAGCTACCGAGCGCCGCCGCAGCATGTTTTGTTGTTTTCTTGGCTTCGCTAAAAACTGGCCAAACTTCAAATCGTCTTTCCCTTTAATCTTTTCTTTGTCTTGAAACTCCTACTACCACCAGCTGACATCACACCCACACAATGGAGGTAGAAGCAAGCACTACTTCGAAGTCAGTGGCCGTCAATGGATCGGAGGCCATGGAGACCGACACCGAGGGATCTGTCATCAAGATCGGCCAGGAGAACAAGGACGGCTCGAAGCCGATGGCCAGCTCCAGTGCCTCGGTTGCTGTGCCGACCATTGCCGTCTCCCTTCACCCGCTGGTGATCATGAACGTCTCCGAGCACTGGACTCGACTTCGCGCTCAGCAGGATCCCAGCTCGACGGAGAAGATCATCATCATCGGCGCCTTCATCGGCAAGCAGAAGGGCCGAAACATCGAGATTATGAACTCATTTGAGCTCAAGTTTGACCTCGTCGAGACAAAGGTTGTCCTCGACACTGACTACTACCGTACAAAGGAGCTGCAGTTCAAGCAGGTCTTTCCCGATTTAGACTTTCTCGGCTGGTACACAAATGGCGATGAGCCGACGGACTCGGACATGTCGGTTCACTATCAGATCAGCAATGAAATTCACGAGAGTCCGCTCTTTCTCAAGCTGAATCCACTGGTGAGTTTTGCTATATGAAGAAAAAACATTGACTAAAATCCCCATTTCTACTAGGGTCGTCAAACTTCGCTTCCCATAAAGCTGTACGAGTCGGCCATCGAGGTGATCAACTGCATCCCCACGATGTACTTTGTCAATATTCCCTACTCACTGGCCACTGAAGAGGCCGAGCGTATTGGCCTCGACCACATGGCTCGAATGACCTCCACGGCTAACAACAGCGAGAACGGCAACTCTGCGGCCACTGACCACCTTCGCGTGCAGTACAACGCCGTGAAGATGCTGCGCAATCGAGTTCGACTGATCCTCGACTACATCAAGGACACCAAGAGCGGAAAGATACCGGTCAATCACGAGGTGCTCCGGGAAATATTCAACCTCTGCCACCGCATGCCGATCATCAGCTCAGACGGCTTCAATGAGGAGTTTTTCGTGCAGTCCAACGACGTCGCCCTGCTGACGTACCTGGGCGCTCTCACCAAATGCTCCAACACCATCAACCAGTTTGTCAACAAGTTTAGCACTCTCATGGAACGCCAATCACTGGGACGTCGTGTGCGTTTGTACTAGTGTAGTGAGGTTTGTAAAGGGGAGGATCGTGTTTCACACAGCTCATCCAAAATATGTACAGTTTACTCCTTTAAAAAATATGTCAATTTGAGTCTTACTAAAAAACTACTGTTCGCTGCTACCAACTGTCAAAGTTACCAAAAGTGCTCCTTGCCTTCTTCGACTTTGAGGCCTCGTCTCCGCCCCCTTCACCGGAGATCTTCTTGTGGACGTCATCGAGGTTGATAAAGGAGCCAATGCCCTGGCGAAAGACCTTCTTCGGCTTTGCCGCCTCCTCCTGCTGTCGCTTCCGTAGCAGACCAGCAGCACCACTGCTTTCGCCCATCTTTGTCCGCTCGCTGGCAATCAGCTCCTCAGCCTCTCTGTAAGGGTCCACGAAAACGGTCGTCTTTTGAATGGTGATCGCCTCCAGCGGCCGATCGCCGTCGTCCACCTTGGTCGCCTCCATGCGCGAGAGCACCTCCAGTCCGCCCACCACCCGTCCGAAGATGGTGTGCTTGTTGTCGAGGTGCTTGCAGCTGCGGAAGGTGATGAAGAACTGCGATTTGTTGCTGCCCGGGCCGCTGTTGGCCATGCTGAGAATGCCCCGGCCCTCGTGGCTGTACAGCTTGTTGAACTCATCCTCAAAGGGCTCGCCGCGGGCAAAGGCTGACTCGCCGCCACGCCCCGTGCCGGTCGGGTCTATAATAAAGGGTTAAAGAATGGGTTAATGAAATTGTATAAAATCCTCAAAAAACAGTCCCCCTACCTCCGCCCTGGATCATGAAGTTTTTGATGAGTCGGTGGAACTTGGTGCCGTCGTAGTAGCCCCGCTTGCAGAGGGTCATAAAGTTGTCGCACGTCTTGGTCACCGTATCGCAGTGCAGCTCCAGGTTCAGATTGCCCAGGTTGGTGGTCAGTCTGACGTAGCCCTTCTTCTTCACGTACGGGTAGCGAATGACGAACTCATCGAGAATGGCCGCCTCCACGGAGACCACCGGCTCCATCACCGTTGAAGTGAAGGACGCCGCCGCTCGACCGGTGGAGTAGTGCGCCGCCGAAAAGTGGTCAGCCTTGCCCGGTTTTTGGCCAGCAGCACCACTACTGGTCCCGGCCATCTTCTTTAGGAGGGCATTCTCCTCTACCGTCTCCAGCTCCTTCAGCGTCTCCTTTGTTTCATTGTTGATCTTTCTCAGGTTGGACGAGTCCTCGTCGTCGTTCTTCAACAGCAAGTTGTTCTTTATGTAGTAAAAGTCCATAATGTTAAACTTGTCCAGGTGCTGCGGGTTTTGGATGTCAATAATGTCCTTTTTCGTGAACGGCTGGTCGTTGAGAAGATCGCGAAAGTGGCCTGCTTTCAAGTTCAATTGCTCCACTGCTTCGTAGGAGAAAACATTGCCCGTGGTCTTGATGGCCACAATGTGACTGTTCTGGTTGAAAACCTTGAACAGCACGGGACAACTAACAAAGAAAACTGCTTTAGTTTTGGGTTCAAAATGCTTCAGTCAATAAACTTACTGATAGAATCCGTCGGCATTCTTTTGAAAGTTCAACTTGGTCAGCTGTTTGGCCTGCAGTTTCTCCCCTGAATACGGATCGACGCCGTACTTCTGCAGAAAGGGCACAATGTTGGTGAGATCGTAGATGACTCCATTGGAGGTAATGTACGGATCACGAAACGGCTGAAGTGACAGTGAACAGTGATCGTACGGGAGTCCTTAACAAAAACACATTGTTACTGTCTGGTAAAGCGACGTTTTTTGGCTTACTTTTAAACTCGGAACGTTCGCTGTGGCTGTGGTACTCATCGTTTGCGCGCTTTCCACCGTAAAGCGATGTCCATTCTTTGCTGAAATAAAAAGGTTCATTAAAAATTGCACACTTGAAGTTATTGTTTACTTTAAACCTTACCTGGTAATGTACAGCTTGTCTGATTGATGCTGCTTTTTGCCCATGTCTTCTCCGCTTTAATGTCAACCAAACAGAATATAAACCAGAAACTGGTCCTAAAATGTAGAGAAACTAACAAAATAAAAAACGACAAACTCGCCACTGTTTTGACCATCAACACTCTCTCTTTGAGCGTCCCTATCGCATCACGTGACCCGGTGAGCATGTTTACTTTATTTTGCGGCTTGACATTTGAAAATCATTACCTGGCCAGACAATCTTCACTTCCAATGGACGTCCACTTTTAAATGAAACTAGTAGTTGACCACCAGAAAACAGCGATACCATGGAGATCACCATGGAAAGCTTCAACTTTGAGAAGAAAGATAAAAATTTTACATGCAGATACTGCTTGAAAGTCTTTCGCACCTCGAAGGTAATTTTTCATTGTAAGCCAGTTCACATTTTCACACCCATTTCATAATTTACAGACAATGCTTGCTCATCTTTGCGTCAAATCGGCTCATATACCATGTCGGTACTGTAACACCATGTTCACCACAGATTGCGCCAGCAGGTACCACCTCGAGTTGTGCTCAGCAAGGCCAGCAGATGCTAATCCGCCACCGCCGCCGCAAAACGACCCGGCTGCTAACGCAATTAGTCTTGGCACACCGAAGAAGAGTGAGCCTATGAGGTCGCCCATCAGACTGAGAGAGTCGCCTCTAAAGGTGCAAAGAACCTCGCCATATAAGAATGGCCTCCCAGAAACGAAAAGGATGAAGACCGAAAGTGCATCTCCGCAAAAACGGGATTTGCCTTCAGCCGCAGCAACAGCGCCTCTTCCTTTACCGACTCCTCCACCTCAACCAGAAGTCATTACGCTGATTGATGATGATGATGATGATGAGGAGGAGGAGAAAGAATTATCGGAGAATGATGGCTGTAAGTTTTGACCGGCCGTTTTAGTTCCCTAACTAACGTTATTCCCATTTCGCTTTTTAGTTGCCGAACAGGAGAACAAACTGGCGTTGATACTGCTGGCGGGAAATGAGGAGGAGACGTACTGCCCAATCTGTGAAATTCACTTTGATAATCTCGAACGACATGGCCGTTCTCACGGTATGGCTTATCTCAAAATGTGCGCCATGAGACGGGAAAAGATGCCAGCCAAAAGTCTGTCTCGATGCTGAGAAGTTTATTCGTGAAAACCCGTCCACCCAGTCAGCTTTACCCGAACTGTGAATCGCCTACACTTTGATAATTTTTCAGTGTGCGAACCGTACAAATCAAAACTTTACCATTTTGTCAATTCGCGGCATTACTTACTCAAGATTTTATCTTAAACTTTTTTGTGATTTTATTAAGCAACAACATAATATTTTATTATGATAACAAAAATAATGATTAGCAATCATCAGAAGAGAGTGAGTGAGTTGGTGAGAGAAGAGAACAAAAGAAGAGGAACAAAAGAAAAGAAAGCAACAAACACAGAGATACCGAAAAGAGAAAGACGAGTTTGTTCGCTACCCGAAGAAGAATCAGAAGAAGTGTGCAACCAAAGAGGAGAAACGAAGAAAAAAGGTACAATACGCATTTCTACGCATTCAATATCACATTGAGGAGAAAAAGAATTGGTCTGGCGAAAAGGTAGGTACAGTAGTTAATGTTGGCTGTGTGGGGGTGTGTGTGTTTGTGTGGTTCTTGGTAGTAGTTTATCACCAGTCCTGGTGACTAGTCTTGGTGAGATGAAGACTACAGACAAAATGATAGAGAAGAAGGAAGTGTCTTTGTGAGTGTGTGCACCAGTCAGTGAGTGGAATTGTCGTCAGAGAGAAAGAGAAAGAAAAAACGAAAAGTTATGCACAGGGTTTCCGCAAAAGAACGAAAAAGAGAAAAGACTGAATGAAGAAAAAGAAACAAAGAGAACCAGTAGAAGATCAGCGAATGAGATGAAGAAAAAAAGAAAGCGATTGTGTGAAAAAATTGGTTGATGGTCTAGTTGTGGTAAAGTGTGCTGGTTGGGTGTGTATGTGTGTGTGTATTGTCAGGCTGATGGAAGTGATTGCCAAAGATTGGTGATTGTTTGCTGATTGACTAGAGAAAGAATGAGAGCAAAAGAAAGACGTTTTCTTTGTTTGCTTTTCTTCAATCATTTGCATTCCATTTCGAATTCAAAACACACCATCTACTGCTGCTTGTTGAGTGACGTCGAGGAGGGCGCCGTCACGGTGATGCAGGTCGAAGGGGCGGCACCGGCGGCAGTGTTGCCCTGGCCACCGAGGTGTGTTTGGTGGTGATGGTGGTGGCCGCCCCCGCCACTGGCGCCAGTGTGACTGCCGTGAACACTGTGGCCATGAGCGCCGTGAGCCCCTCTGGCCGTGGCCGAGTTGCGGAAGAAGGACTCTGACCGCTGGAAGGGCGACCCGCTGGTCTGCGGTCTCTCCGCCGCCCCCGCCGCCTGCGTTGAGCCCTGGCGGTCGAGGCCGTTGATGCTGAGCGCCGTCATCAGCGGAAAGCAGGACTCTGATTTGGGCCGCGGCAGAGCACTGCTGCTGCCCTGCTGGTGGTGGTGCAGGTGGTGGCTGGAGCCCTTCGTCTTGTTCTTCGTGAACAGACTGACGTCTGACTCGCTGTCGTCGCTGGGACTCTGCGCCGACAGCGTCAGCAGCTCGCTGACCGCCTTCAGCTCTGACTGAAAGTCCTCCCGATTGCAGACGATGGAGGGATTCTTGCCGATCTTGTTCAGTCGCTCGGCGGCAATCGACTCCATGGTGCGCCGCATCAGCGGGTACATATCCAGCACCGAGTTGAAGTGCTCCACTGAGAGCGAAAAGAGGTTGCAGTAGGTTTCTGCGCGAACAGAAGCGACACGACGTGCGTTCGTTAGCAGGCAGATTTCTGTAAGGAATAAATTAACAACTTTATACACTGAAATAACAGCGCTATCCTACCTCCAAAGTAGGAGCCATCGGAGAGACTGGTTGCCACCTCGCCGTTGATCATGACAATGTCGACAATGCCCTCCTGAATGAAGTACATCTTATTGCCGATGGTGCCCTCCTTGATGATGATATCCCCTGGCTGGTAAACCTCGTACTTCAGCTTTGTCACGATGGAGTTCACAAAGTCCGTGTCGGCGTTGGCGAAGAAGGGCACCGAGGCGACCAGCGCCCGACAGTTGTAGTTGATGACGTCCTCACGGAGGCGCTCCGAGAGCTCGTCCAGAATCACCTCCTCATTGAAGAACTTGCCCTGGTAGCGGTGCTCAAAGTAGTCGCCGATGCGGATGCGCAGGTCTCGCGGCAGCTTTCGGTAGCCCATGTACTCCTCCACCTGTTTGAGCTTCTCGCGGTACTGCCGACGACTGCTGTCCAGCGACTGTATCAAATTGGTGGTGTGGCCGAGGAAGAGGGCGTAGCAGGTGGCGCCGGAGATCATGCTCAGCAGTGTCAGCCACATGTCCGTCAGCGACTGAGGGGGAAAGCGGCCGTAGCCGATGCACAGCATGTGCGACATGGCCTTGAACAGCGACCAGGAGTACTGGTCGAACCAGTCGGCGTTCTAAATGAAGGGGGAGATTTTGTATTAGTTACTAGATCAGAAAGTAGTGTCCGTTTAGTACCGTCAGCTCATTGATGGCCACCCAGGAGTTGGGCGGGAAGCCCTGCAGCATGGGGACCAGAAACTGAAGACAGCCGCTCCAGTGACCGATGAGCAGCATCATGCAGATGAGGTTGAAGATTTTCATAAAGAGGCTGGCCATGTTCAGGAACTGTCGTGTGTGTGTGCGTGTGCGGGGTTTGGTGTTGCGTGTTGGTTGCGGTTCGGTTTAGTGGTGAACAGTGGAGGCGAAATGAAAATGATGATGGTGGTGGTTAGAGTGATTGTTAGTTTAGCGAAAAAGGGGAGGAGAAGGTAGTGGAAAAAAGAGAGATAGAATTAAAATTAGAAGGAGATTCTGTTCGAGCGAGCGAGCAGCAACGGTATGATAATTCTTGGTGGCAGAGCTATCGATCAAAGAATTGCTGTTGCTTGGCAAGGAAAGAGATTCTTTTCTGACTTTTCTCACATGAAACACTGATGTCTGTCTCTGCCTACCGATTCATCAACCGAAGAGTCTTGTTTGTCTGCCTACTCTGTCTGTCTGTCTGCCGTTGTCTGCTAATGATGCTCTCTGATTGCCGCCCAATGAATGAGCGAATGAATGAGCCTCCTGTCTCATTTTCTTTTTCTGAACAGTTTGCTCGTTCCCTCTTTTTTCTCCCTCGACAAGACAAATAAACACCACAGCAGTTTCAGACACCGGCTTCGCACCATTAGTGTTGCCCATTGACAGTGAAGCCGGCACTGGTGATGGTAGTGCTGCTGCAGTGATAGTCAGTACTGTCGGTGCTGATGGCGGCAAGTCATCTATTTATAATTGCCAATTGCCGATCAAAGAAGAAGGCAGAATCCATTGATGGCACTGCTGGGAGGAGGAAAGAGAAGACAATCGCCGTCAATTCACCGGCGTCTCTGCGGTGGCACACACTGACGAAGTCGAAAAAGCTGTCGGCGTTTACTGTCGTACAGTGAAGCGACTGACTAGCTGACTGACTGAGATCGCTAAAAGAGTTGGCCTCCGGAGAGCCATCTTTGCCTCCGCTTCTTCGAGTTGCATCCGCTGGAGGTGCAGTGGAGGTGGCAGTGAGAGATTCCGTCGCACCATAGCTGCCTGCCATAAATCATCTGCTAGTGTGAAAAGGAACAGCAGCAGCATTCACAGAACGGCGCAACTGTTTACCGCACTGCTTCCTCGCCAGCAGAAATATAAATGGCTGTTGATTTAATTAACGGCAGGCTGCAGCGATTTTCATTAATTAAGACTGACGATCAGATGAGAGAGTGAGTGCAACGAGTGGCACCTTGTGCTGCTATTATTGTTGTTGTTGGGTTTGCTGCTAGCTGTGACTAGCTGGGCAAAATAGACTAAGCCTGCAGTTCTGGGGACCCCACAAACTAAGTGGTAGTTTATGTTTGCCCTCATCGATGGCACGTCTTTGCCAAGTTGAATCATTGCCCCCACTAACTGTCTCCAGCAGCAGCACTGGCTGCTTTACTGCCACCCCCTAGAGAGCACAGCACCACTGGCATTCGTAATGATGACCCAGTGAGAGAGAGAGAGTGAAGGAGACCACCACTAGCCCGACCACCAGCCGCAATGAATGTCAATGCAGGGATGTTAGATGGGCGCCATAACGGCAACAATGACAGAGGTAGCAGAAGGAGGAGGAGAAGTAACTTTGCAGTAGGCACATCTACAGCACCTGAGGTCGTGCCAATGTACGACAATTGAATGAAATGGTCGCTTAATTAGACGAAACCCAGCAGAAAGGAACAAGAAGAAAGCCAGAAAGACATGCCGCCAAAGAGTGGCAGCCAGGATAGTCGGCTAGACTTGCAAGAGCCAGCAAATCAGCAGATGAACAGGAGGAGGAGAGGGAAATGTTAGTGAAGAAGCAGCAGTAGCAATCAATATGCTCGTGGCCAAACAGACCGTTTGTTCGGTCTAATGAGACGGCACAAGTGAATTGTGTGTGTGTGTGTCTGTCTGTCTATCTCTCTCTCTTCTCTTGCTACCGTTTATTCCTGAATCCGCCTCGATAATTCCTCCCTGCTGCTTCAGTGCTCGTTAGCTTTTACTTCTTCAGCTTCTGCTGACGGTGCTTCTGCTTCTGTTTCTGCAGAAAGTTAGTGCAATTGCCCATAAACATAATCGATACATTGAGCAGTGGCCGAGTGGAGTGAGCACTGCACAGTCAGTCTCTGCGCTGAAAGGTGCCTAATGTCTGGGCGGCAAGTGGACAGGGAAGAGGAAGAGATAGAGAGGCTAATTGGCGATACATCTCAAGAAGACAATGACCGGACAGCAATCAGACAGACAGACAAACGGACAGCAAAAGAAGGAGCAGACACACAGGCAACAATCAGGTAGAGCGCAATCAAATTAGCAACAGCAAATGTAAAGTGCGGTAAAGGTAGAAAGTAGAAAAAGTAAAGAAAAAAGAGGAATCTTTGTGTTGTTACCTTTTTGTAACCGGGAATTTGATTTAAATAAATTAGAAAACACGATTCATTTCTTGACAGATCAGCCAGGTTTTGCATCTTTAGGAGGGAGGTTTTGGCATTGTTGGGTATGGGTTCAGTGTGATAGGAGCAGAGGAGAAAGAGAGGAGATATGATTTGGTTTGGTTTGGTAGAGGAGAAAAAGAGAAAGGTGATGCGAGGAAAGAGGAGGATAAAGTAGTAGGTGAGAAGAAGTTAAAAAGAGAGAGAAAGAAAGAGGCAGAGAAAAAAATGGGAAGAAAGAAGAGAAAGTTGCATTGAGGTCAAAGGAGAGGTAGTAAGACGACGGTTTGAATAAATAAATAAATAAATAGACGACGGTTACCAACATACGGATGCGGCAGTTAGACTGCATGCACGCTGACAGTTAGACAGACAGGCGAACAAACGAGCAGACTACGAAAGCAAAGCAACAAAATAAAAATAGTGCCGTCTAAGAACAAAAAACGTGAGTGGACAGGCAAATGCTGTGTAGTGACTACCAGAGACGAGACAAGTGCTGCTAACACATGCACAAAGCGATTCTAATGCAGACTGACAAGAAGACTGATTTTTGGACAACATGGAGTTAACTGAATTTCACAGCTGGCTCCAACAAGGACATTGAGGAGACGAAAATAAATGACAAAAAGAAGAGAAAGAGAGAGAAACTCACTACAAATCTAACTTGGTCGGGTCCTAACTTGCACACCTTTTCACACACGCACACACACAAACTCATAGATGACCTGCTAGAAAAAAGCAATCTGAAAAGCCGTCTCGGAACATTTGCCTGGACATTGACCACCAGCATTACTAGCGTTGTCATAGTCCGACAAATGACCCGGAACTATAATTATTGGATGCCTCAGCTGAAGGTTCAATTTACTGGCAAATTGATACTTGAACAGAAAATTGAAGCTAAAAACAATAGCTGCTGCAGAAGAGAAAGCCTTTGGGAGATGAGTTCTGAGTGGACACTGAGTTAGGAAAATTGAAAATAATATAATTGTCGCTCAAATGGGACTGAAATACTGTTATAGCAAAAATATACAAATTGGATCATGCATTGCCTACGGACATTGACACACACAGAGAAAAAAACAGGCGATCACAGACAAAGAGACAGACAAGAAGAGGCAGGCAGGTGAGTGAGTTTCAGGCAGGCAACAAGCGAGGTAACGGGAGAAAATGAAATAAAGGAGAAAATAGACAAAGAGAGAGAAAGAGAGGATCAGATGCAAAAGATGTGGGCTGACTGTAGGGGGAAGGGAAAACAGACACACTCACTTTGCATAAACTAGCCATAAGAAGAAATGGCCAGAGAAGAAAGAAAGTGAGTGAGAGAGAATAAGTGTCGGCGTGCATGTAATGAAGTCACCAACAGCAAAAGGTGCCGCAATGAATGAGTGTATGTTCTTGTTGCTAATCAGATTACCAAGGAAAGCATCGAAACAATTGATGGCACCAATAATTGCCAATTATAGCAAGTAATGGCAGGCAGAGTAGACTTGCACAGATAGACAGACAGAAAATGCCGACAAGAGAATGAGAATGAAGACAAAGAAAAGGAATGTCGGCTAAAGTGCCTTTTGTGAAAACTGCTTTACTGTCAATACCAATGTGCCGGCCCAAAGTCAGCAAAAAATAATGAAAAAAACTTCACTTTACTTTATTCTCTGTTAGGCAAAGCGACACTTTGCCTGTGTTGCTAATTAATTAGTCAGTCAGTCAGTTTACTGTCCATACTCTGTCGAGTGAATAAATATTTAAATTGTATTTAAAAGTGGCCTGACTGCTGCGGCTGCAGTGCCAAAGTGCTGTGTGTGTGAAGCAAAAAAGCCTCCGAAAAGTTGAGCAATACAGCAGATTGACCCTAACTTTGTGCAGTTGCTGCTGATGATGTTGCTGTCACTGGAGGCAAATTGCAGTGCAGGAAAGTGGCCAGTCTGTTTGTATGTATGAGAGTGTGGAAAAGTAGAACACACACACACACAATGTGCAATTCGAAAACAGAAAGTGAAAAACAGAGAAAGACAGATAGTGTGTTGGCCATGAGCAGCAGACGTGACTACTGCCAAGCGAAAATGCATGAAAGGAAAATGCGAATCGATGGGGCGAATCCATCATCACACGAAAGCACTGAAAACTGCCAGCCAGCCAGCCTACAACAGCCTGGCAGTCAGAAAGTCATTCACTATTCAGTCTCTTTGTCTCTCACTCTCTAATTAGTGTGCTAGAGCAAGAGAAGAGGTGTCACAAGAGCTGAAGGAAAAGAAAAGAGGATTTTTGCTGTTGCTGTCGCTGAAGATCGATGCTCACTCTACACTGCACTCTACACAGCTCTGTGCTGCTTTGGTCTCAGTTCGCACGGTCACAGATCTTCTTTCATTCTTTTGGAGTCACAGTGTCAGTCAGTGTGTTCACAACAGTCAGTTAAATGGTAAGTAAGCTAGAAGCGTCTTTCAGGAGTAAGTATGAAGCTCTACATTTTGGAGGGGAAAGTGGGCAAGAGAAGGAGAGAGAAAGTCAGTGATAAGTATCACTCTTCCTACTTTTCGTTCTCCTACTCACTTCCGCCCCCAAAGTCTACTCGGTTCTACTACAGTAATACAGTGTGGTTGGTCGACCACAACAACAAAAAAGTAAGAAAAAAAGAGTGCCATCCAAGCATCGATCATTTGGGCTACTGAAGCACACCGCCGCAAACACATGGCCACTTACATGACTCTCCAAGGTGCTAACGTAGCGCACGAGGCGCGACAGACGCAGCAACCGCAGCAAACTGAGCATCTTGGCGAAGCGCAGTATCCTCAGCGCTCGACCAGTGGCGTGCAGGAACTGAAAGTTGTCCTGGTTGAAGATCAGAAAGATGTAGTCGAGCGGTATGGAGCTGATCAGGTCGAGGAAGAACCACGAGCGAATGTATCCACGGGCGATCAACTTCGGATCGAGTATGACCTGCTCGGGCAGATCCGGATTCATGATACCTAAACACAAAAGGAGAGAGAAAAAAGAGAAAATAAAACGTAGTACTCAGTTCAGCTGTACAGCAAAAACGGAGCGTCGCTTTTATTGAAAACTATTTTTACGCATAATGGTAAATAGCAATATCCATTCTTTTTGTCTTGCTTTCACACCAGAATAGTCTCTCTTTACATATCCATCTGCCAGTTTTGCCATTGTGTATGTGTGTGTGTGCGTCTGGGGCTTTTGCATTTAGGCCCACCAAACAGTGAACAGAGGAAAAAGAAGTAAAATCAGCACAGCAAAGCGTGGATCAGCAAATGTGCACTTGAAAGCGCAGGCAGCCAATCGAGCGAACGTCGACCACCGCCACAGCCACCACCACTATTGTTAGCACCAATAGCTAGGCACTGAAAATAGGCATTGATTTTTGTTGTTTCCCATTCTTCTTCATTGCCATTTTTGCCTCCACTCCCCTCAATGCATTCGATTTGCATTCGCCTGACTGACTGAAAGACTGCGGCGGCGGCGATTGTAGTGGCGTCGGCGGTAGCCAGTTTCACTTGAACAGAATCCAGGTTTTCTTTCTCTCTCTCTTTCCTTTGTATCTGTCGTCTGCCGTCTCAATGACGTATGGCAGACTGAAGAAGCGGGAGCCAATGTGCACACACACACTCACACACACTCATCTGTCGGTGGCTGCTAAGTGGCCATTGAAAATGACATGCTACCGAGACCGAAAAAAATGGTAGTGCTGCTGGTGGTGGTGGTGGTGGTGGTTTGCGGTGTGCAGTGTACTGCTCCACATATTTTGATAAGGGTAGATGAAAAAGTTTTCATCTGTGGCTACTAATCCACGCCAAAGTGAAACACGGACAAAACAAGCAAGCACGGCATCATCAGACTGTGCGGCTGCCACTCCATTTGGCACTTGATTACATGCTTCAATATGAACAGCTAATGTGCCGATAAGAGTACATGCATAATGGAGAGGAGGGTAATCTACCAAAAAAGAAAGAGAAAGTGCAATGGGCAACGCAATACTGACTAAAATGTGTTCCCTAAATAGCCATTTTCTGTGAATGAATGAAAAACTTCTTCTATTTTCGAGGAATTTAGCTGCTCTAGTAGCGATACTGCCTAATGCCTCTTGTTTGTTGTTTCCCATTTGTTGTCCTCCTTCTTTTTCTCCTCATCATCATCCTTCGTTTTGCACTACAGTCATCCCAGATCCGTCGTGCTATTTTTTGCCTCTCGTTTCCCTGATCCGTTAATTAGATTGTTATATTAGCTAATATAAATAGATCACCAGCGATCAATAGGTTGACTAATTAGTGCACAACTAGTACTACCACTACAACTGCTATTACTTGGATTGAAGGCAAGCAAAGACGGGAACAGACAAATCGTGTGACAAGCGATCTTTCGGTCGCTCTCCCGCGCGATTGGCGACGCGTAAAGTGATTCGAGGCGACATTAATTCCCCTTCATTAGTGATTGCTGCACACACTGCTGAGTGGTTAATTAAAAGAACGCCCTAGAAGGGAAGCGGCGTTCGGCAAAGCTTCAGGCGGAAAGAAAAACAGCAGAAAAAAAGTTGGCCTGACAGATTGAAGAGCAGTAAGCACACTCACACACGCGTGCTAAGAGTTCCCTTTTCTTCCCTTGCCTCCACTTGAGCACTAATTGCAATCTGACGCCGTCTCTAGCTTTCATTTCATTCATAATATAATCGGTGATACCTGTTCGGAAGTTCACCAAGATGTCGAGCAAAAAGATGGTGTCAGAGAGAATGTTGAAGGCAATCCACCGAGTGGAGAGGTCGTCGTTGAAGAAGGAAATGGCCACTGGCAGGACGATGAGATTGGCCACCAACAGCAGAAGCATGCACATGTCCCAGTAAAACCTGCAGAGAGGTAGAGAGAAAGGAAATGGAAAAAAAGAGAAACAGAAAAACATAAGAATAAACACTTTTCACTTGCATTCTTCAAAAAAATGATTTTGGCAATTAATTTTGAACTGAAAAGCAAAATCAGATTTTTATTGAGAAAAAATTCTCGATAAATAGAAGGAAAGAAGGAGAAAAGTGATTTTGTTTATATTAGAAAACAAAGAAGACAAATGATCACAAGCTAGCAGCTTGTCGCCGGCCAGTGGACACTGTCCACAGTGCAGTGACAACAGCAGCCTGTAAACATCTGCCATGCTGCATATTGCATGCACATATTAGGAGTGGTAGTAGGGCGCTAATATCACTGCAACACACACACGTGTGCCCATATTACGGTCACAGCATAGGTGCTGCTCCTTCTTTCACTTAGGTGTCCTACTGTCTTTTGACATCGCTGTGTTACCGCTGTGTTTTACCTGAATGTACTGCAAGGATGGATGATGAAAAGACCGGACTCCTTTTGGCGTGCTCGTTCGTCCATGAGCGCCTTCTTGCTGCCGAATAGCTTCATCGCCAGTTTGTTATCTAACAGTAGCGGAGGGAAAGGGAATAAAGAATAAAGGAGAAATGATGAAAAACGGCCGCCTAGCTCAGGCACAAAGCACCGGAACAAACAACTCCTGCTGCTTTCCATTGTCTACACTGTCTCTGCGCCCTAAAAACGTTACCTGAAGGCTGAAAGAGCGCCTCAATTTGGCTGCGCATAAAGGAGGGCCCCTTGACGTCGCCCAGGCCGGGAATCATCTCCTCCTTTGGCGTCCCATACAGGCTAATGTTGTCCGCCTCCTGTTGGCTGTTGTGCTTGTCCCACACGCCGCCCCCTCCGCCGCCGCTGTCGTGGGTGTGTATGATCGGCGGCGACTTGCGACAGGAGGAGCCGGAGATGCCGTCCTTGTAGTTCATTTCAGGCGTGATGTAGTCATCAATGTAACTGTCCGCAGGGAAGAAGACACCGCTGGAGGGAGGTGCAGGCGGGTAGATGAAGCCGATGCTGTTTGGCTGATCGACGACTCGGTTGCTGTACACTACCTTCTGCTGATGGCCACTACAAGCACCTGAGCCAGTGTTTGCCCCTACCAGTGGCTGCTGCTCTTCGATGATCTCAATGCGTGTCGCCTCATCGTGCTGTCGTCGAAGCTGAGAGCTGTTTTTGTTGTCGATGTTCAGTCGCAGGCCATTGGGAAGCTTTAGGCTGGAGGACCGACGATTGCTGCTGTTGTTGCTGATGCTGTTTCGGTTGCCTCGGTTCTTTACGCTCGGTGAGTCAGTGTTGTTGTTGTTGTTGACGATCCCCGAAGATGAGTTCCCGGTGGTCGTTGTCACTGTGGTCGTGCCAGTGACGGTGGCTGCTGCTGCTGCTGCAACCGGGGCTGTGGGAGCTGGGTCTGTTTGTTGCTGTTCTTTCTGCTGTTGTTGTTGTTCTTTTACCGAGTCACCCTGCAGCTCATCCTCCACCGAGGAGCCCTTTGCACCACTGCTGCTTCTGAAATGAGAAAAGGCCAATTGCAGGCAAATTAGTGCTGTAAATAGAGCATTGATTGGAAACGTTTTCGCCATTATTCATTACATTAGCACACACTCATATTCCTTTTTATAGAGCGGCAGAAGTGACAGCAAATAAGATTGCTTTATTTGCGTCATCGTATGGCACACACCTTATTCTTGTCAGAAGACAATGAGTGTACATCTTCAGAAACAATCATTCGAGAATGTTAAAAGTGTGATTTCGGTGGAACGTTTATTCTGACAACACCCTTATTGCAAACGGTGACCGGACATAATCATAAAGTATTACATTTTATGAAGTAATACATTAAACATTGGCATATTGTTGATATCTTCAGTGTGTATGGCTTTTGCCTGATGTAACCATCATTTGAACAATCCTTTCTATTTCTGGTGTTGTAACTTTATACAGTTTATGTTTATTGTGGTTTTAAAATATTATTTTTTGTGTAATTTTATCAGAGTAAAATATCGTTCAGCTGCGAAACCCCATTGCTAAGCGGTATCTGAATATGTTTGCGCTACTAAATCTACTTCATTCACGGNCTTATTTTTTTTGTGTAATTTTATCAGAGTAAAATATCGTTCAGCTGCGAAACCCCATTGCTAAGCGGTATCTGAATATGTTTGCGCTACTAAATCTACTTCATTCACGGACTTTTCAGTATAAGACACTTGACACCACTCTTTCACTGTGTACTCCCATCGAGTCATCGTAGCCACTTCAGGCAGATCAAGCCAGTTGAGTTCAAATACAACAAAATGGAAACTTTTCAAGCATTATCACTACATATGTGTGTACAATCTCAAAGAAAATGTCAATTCTTTTGTTATTCTCTTTTTCGGCTGGCAAATGGCTTCCGCCGCACTGGTGGCCAATTTAGAACAATGCCCACTGTGTGCTGAAGGGTTAGAAGGATGCTGCCTGCCTGATGCTGCTCTGACTTGCCCATTCTGTCCATTGCCCATAAAGACGAGCATTACGGCTTTAGAAAATGTGGGCATTGCCAACAGCATTGCCATTCTTGTATTGTCTTTGCCTGTGTTCTCTCTCGCTTTGCTGTTTTGTCACAAATGATTATGCACGGCTCGTGGACGCAACCAGGCACAATTATCGCAGAATGACGACGAAGATGATGACGACAACGACGATGCCAAGAGACACACAATCACATCGGCAAAAGGACACTCACTTCATTCGAGAGTGCACGGGTGAAACGAAGCAAAGAAGCAAGCGGCAATGCTGGCAGGCAATCGGCAGGCATACACTTTTAGCTTCATCAGACTAAGCATCAGCCACCATTCATTCAGTTTCTCCCAAACGACCATCGGTAAGCCACCGTAGGCCACCGAAAGCAATATTATCCCAATTTGGCAGCGTAAAGATGAATTTGACAGCGAATATGCTCTGATGGCTTACAAAAGCATCGCTTGCTGCAGTGGATGAGAATAAAGCATCAATCACAATAGAGAATGTCGCTGTGTGTGCATTACTTCATTATGCATTGATGCATCAGCTAGGTCAGCGGGGCAGCAAGTAATGGGATTAGCCTAGCAAGAAGAACACAGGCACAAATAAGGAGCGAAAGAATCAAAACTGACTGCGACAATAGAAGCAAAAGAAGACCATATACCAATTGACAGCTGCTGCATCCACCCTCAATGAGAAAAGACAACTGTCACTGAAAAGGAAGGTAATGAAGGCAGTGGGTCGCCCGTGTCGCTCAGCAATCCACTCTTCAAAGCTGTCATTTGCTTTTGTTTTTTATTTCTATTTATGTGAGTTGTGTTGCTCTTTGCACAAACGTGACGCATTTACGATAAGCCATTTTGTTCTTTCACTTTGTGTGTATCGTATCAGACTCTCTCTTGTTTTTCACTCTTTGTCACCATTGAAACTGCCAAATTGCTATCATTAATTGAGAGACTACACGCAGATAAGGATTGGAAGAGGAGGAGACTAAGAGATAGTCGGGCAGTAGAAACCTGACCGGAGATGAGCAAGCAAATGACGCCAACAAGTCAATTAGCAAGTTTGCCTTCATAATCGGCGCTCCATTTGGTTGGCACTCCCAACCACTGGGGGCAGCAATTACCACAAAGGCTAATGGGTAGAGTGACAAGGCGACAATAAAAAGCACTTGATGCTTTCCGCTCACTGAACTGGAGTCTTTTACTTCAGTGGCACTGTCAACCTAATCACACCGACTCACCTGGTCAAAAAAATCAGCAGGAGCGATGGCAGTTCGGGACGAGTCTGCTACCATGACGACGACCTCACTCACTGAGAGACTAACTAACTGACTGTCTGCCTGACTGACTATTTGATTTGCTCGTTAGTTGGAACTGTCAGAACACACACTGAGAACCAGAGAAAGGAGGGGAGTGAGGAGGGGAGACCTGACTTTTGAGTGGAAACAGTGCGTTGACGTAAGAGAAGAGAAAACTGATCGTCAGTCAGTGAGCCATTCAGTGAAAGTAAAAGTCACTCAAAGTCCGTCACTTTAAACAACCGCTCTCTACTGGTTGCAGGTCGTCGATTCTCTAGTTCTGCCTCATGGATTCTTTTCTTACGCTAAAGTAGAAAAAGTACGTTGAGAAAAAAGGAAAAAGAGAAAACTTCCTCTTTTTCAACGACAGGTCTGAAGAAAAAGAAGAAGTCACTTTTCTTTTTCTTTCCCTTTCTTTTAGCCAGTCCAATCATCAGAATTAAAATGTCATTTTTCAGCGTTGTCGTAAATGTCAGACAGACTGTTTTGACATTGTTACTACTAAGCTAATGAATGGTACTGCTGTTGACTAGCTGGAGTTAAAGTGTGGAAAAGGAAAAAAAGTGTACCGAGGGAAAGGGCACACACTTTACAGTGGTCAGTGTTTTAGTTTCTGGGCGCTCTATTGTCACACTGAATCAATGTAATATTTAGTGCAAAGTTGCACTGTCTGTGTGGACTTAAAAGTGCAAACACTGACATGCCTCACTTCATTGCCGCCATTTCCAGCAACTGCCAACACTTTGTGTTCGTTTGGGTTTTAAAGATTTTACAGTGCAAATCTGCACTGGTTTCTTCTGCGTTCCTCTTCTGCCGTTGCCGCTGAAAGCGAAGATTGATTTAGCCTTTTTACTGTTGTTTTTCTCCGTTGACAGTGAAAAGTGTCCTCCACAGGATGATGACAGTGAGCCGGAGCCCACGCTATTGTGTGCGGTCGAGAATAGAACAGAAGAGAGCAGAAGAAAAGAGAGAAAGAGAGTCCAGTGCGACAAACATGTTCAACAAACAAAAAGAGAGTACAGCCTATGGCATAGTTTCCAGATGGAGAATTATCTAGCAATGGCAACAAATAAATCAAATTGTATGCCTGCAAAATGCTTGTGGTGGTAGTACTGCTGCTGGTGGTGGACTTTTCTCCTTCACTTCTTCTTTCCCGGTTGTCTCTGGAGGAAGGCCCTGTCAGAAGGCAGATAATTGCCGTTTGGTCGACAGCAGCAACAACAACAGAAGAAGTTGAGGAAAGCAATCACCGCTCGCTTGGCGTCGTCTTACTTTTACATGTGTCTAGACACATTTCACTCAGACAAGAGGACAGAGAAGAAAAGACGCACAGACACACGCACACACTTACATTGGGTACAATTGCCAATTGGCCCATGTCAACTGGGCACAACACACAGTACATTGCCACTCGAATGGACGCCGATGACTTTATTGCTGCTGGCACACATATTTCACTTTCCCTCACAGCATTTCCATTTCGCTGATGTCCATTCTCCCTCTCCCTCTTCCTCCCGTTTTGACAGTGGTCACAGTAATGGCGACAGAAAGCAGAAGCGGCCAGAACAAACATGCAAAAGTGTGGCGCAGCCACGTCAGCCGCTGTCCCGTCGTCTACGGATGGCAGCCAAGCGAACGCTCTGGAAGCCGATCAACCATCGATTGGATCGATGATCGAATGAGCCCATCACCATCACCGCTGATCATGCTGGATGAGACGCCGAAAGCACGCCGGCAGTCAGTACACGATCGTCCTCCCTTGGAAGCGTGTCGCTTTCTCTCTATCCTCTCTCTTGACTAACTTCCGCGCGCTCCTTCCTCTGCCCTCCTCCCTTCTCTCTCTCTCTCATTGTCCCAGGCCCCTTTGGCCCTTCGTGTGCTTCTAGCACTCTTAACCTTCCTCCATCATTGTTTTACATTAAACCCTCCCACGTTTGTTGTTATTCAATCCTTGTCCTACAGCTTCCACGCCTCAGGCATGGACCCCGACGATGGTAAGACCGCGCGAGTTTGACCCTTCTGAGCCCTAGTCCCACGCTGCGCGCTAGGACTTTGAGTTGACCTCGCGACACAAAAGTTAACATTCATTGGCTTTATTAGAGAAGAATAACGATTCTCATCATCTCACCAGAGCGACTCGCCGCCTCGCCGAGCTAATCGGTGGCAATGAAAGCGGACACCAAAGCACACACAGACACATTCACTCAGCACAGCAGAAAGGCATGCACTGAGACAAACAGCCAGACAGAACTGTAAACAAGAAACAGCACTAGAAATGCAACATCAAAATATGGCTGCGGATAAAAAGACGGGGGCTATCAATTTAAAAAGTGATGCAAGGGAAAGCCGGAGAGGCTCAAGTAGTAGTAAGCTCGTCTTTGGAATGCGCTCCAGAACAGAGTGGTAGAGAGGCTCGATCAATTAACAAATGGAGGTTGTTGTGATTGCAATCGCTCGGAGCTGAATGCTGATGCACATTGGCTGATCATGTCTGCCCCGTGCCGCACTCTCTTCGTCTTTTCCTGGTACTGCCTGGCACTGAGCTAATGTACCACTAGTAAACAAAACAGCCCCATCGATCTCAAAAGCAAAAGCAATTTCAGTGCCAGTAACAGCAACAGCAGAAACAGCAACACGACATTAATCCCCCTTCAGTGCACGCCTAAACAGTAAATTAGGCGAATCAATCGAGCCATTCCACTGCTGAAACTACCACTCTGCTACTCGAACCATTGCACTGCAATTTGCTCCTGCCACTTGCTGCCGTACATTTTTCAGCAGAAGCAGTAGCACATACACCATTTTCCCCTCTCGCATTTCACCAGACAATGCCTCCAACTGATAACTTTGCGCCAAAGCTGCTGCTGTTGTTGCTGCTGAAACTGAAGCTAGAGCTCACAGCTGCCAACGTGTAAGTGAAGGCACTGGTTTTCCGTTGCAGCTAAAGTGGCTATGCGAAAGCGGACGAGTGGCCATTTCACCGTCACTCAACTCAGTAGCTTTGCATGGCTAATTACCCGACTAAGGTGGCAAACAGATAAATAGTCAATAAGAGTACAGTAATTACGAGGCAGCACAGCAGAACAGCAGCCTGAAAGCTACTGTGAAAGCCATGACTTGAAAATAAAGCATTTGAAAATTGCAATTCCTATTTGAATGAATTTCTTTTTGTTGTTCTTTCTGTTGCCCTCCTTTTTCAGTTCAGGGATATTGAGCACTGCGTTTGGTAAATGCTGCGTCTAATTAGAAGAGATAGCAGCGAGAGCTGCAACAGACAAACACAGCCGGCAAATGGTGGCGGCCATTATAAATAGATTTTTGCCAATTTAGCACATTGATTTGCTAGACTCTCTGTTTGCCAGCCTGTGTGTAATTACCCCAGAGCCTGCTTCGTCAGTGCCTGCCTGGGCTCCAGTCTCTCACTCTCCGTTTTCTTTCCTTTGTTTGGCAATCAATCTCAATTGGCGAGATTCAATTTGCCTTTCACTCTCACTGACTGACTCGTCTGCTGTGCCCTTTGCTGATTACACTAGACATTACCCCCGATGGCCTCTTTACTTTACTCAATGTGTGTGTTTGCTTGTCAGCAATCGAAAAAGAGAGGAGTCTTTTTCACTGTTCTCCAAAGTTGTGCTGTTAATTTTAATCAATTTAAAGTGCTTTAATTGCATTATCGATTCGAAGAATGGCCATCCATCAATTGGTGGTTCTCTGCTGGTGGCCACTTAGTGACGTGATTCTGCTCCCTAGGCTGGTCAAATGTTTAAATGAAAATGGACTTACTTTTGCAAGTGTTGTACAGTTCTGTTCAGAGGCGGAAACGGAACAAACGGAGTAGAGAGTCTGTTCTTTTCAATAGACAGACACACAAGCACATCAGCATTAGCAATTCAACATTTCATTCGTTTCATTGACTAGCAAAAGTCAATAGCTCACCTCTGCCCCCTGCCGACTGAAACACTGTTGACAGGACACAATGGATGGTCAACAGAAGAAGAAAGAGAGATGCACACACACTTTGCGCAGTGATGCATCAAGGGAAAAAGCCAGAAAAAAAGAAAATAGACTGAAAGAAGATTTCAAAAGAGTCAAAGACAGCAGTCCATTTACTGCCCATTTACATTGGCAAACAGGGAACGCACTGAATACTATTTATACAAGTTCTAATACACAAACGAGAATTTCGTTAAGAGCAAACAGAAGAAGTGCACCAATGGCAGCACTGAAAAACAACAACACAATAGCAAACTACTTTTGGCTGCTGTTGTAAATTTTGTATCGATTCATATTTTATGCAAGAAAAGAAGTGTATCATCACCATCCTTCTCCGTTTTTCGCTTAGTCGTTTTTTAATTGTGTAATCGTTGTTGGTTCACAAGCACTCACACTTGCACTCTCAAATACACAAACACAACGCACTTTGAGCACTTTAGGCTGCATTCTTGTGTATTCACCACCACCATCACCACCACCACCACCACTACCATCATCATCATAAGCTAACAAATGATTTCACAATAGCGATTATCGATTCAGTGTGGGAATGCATATCGTCTGTTTTTTCTCACTCTCCGGGCTTCACCGTTTGTGACTTTGCCCCACTTCTATCTTTAAGCAAGTGTGTATGTGTGTCTGTTTGTACGGCAAACAGTTTGGCAGTTGCTTTGTCACGAGCTCTCTCCCTCTCTTCTAGTTGGCCCACTAAATTTGCTTTTTTACCAGAATTTTCCAAGTACAAAAGAGAGTGGCCGGTGGCAAGTGGGCAACTGAGAAGTAGTGAGACAGAGACTTTTAATGGCAGACAAATGCAAGCTAATGTGTGTGTGCATTTCCAAATGCACTAGTCATTTTCTCCTTCTCTGTGTTTTGGCTTTGTCTTCTCTTTTCCTACCACTGCCATCACTAGAAGTACTTCAAACATCAAAGGTATTTTTAAAATATGCTTTTCCTTCCTTGCCCCTTTCCTTGGTGTTTGGAAAGCTACGGTGGTTGTGTAAATAAATAATTAAGCAATGCTAATAAGGCACACTATCTGCCGTCTAGTCTAGGCGTGTTTCCTCCCTCAACAGCAGTGCATTGACAAAGGATATATCTGCCAGCAGCAGCAGTGAGCATTACTTTGTCTGAGCCATATTTCGAATCAAATGTCTTGTGGTTGTTGATGTTACGCTGTCCCGTGATGGCTCTATTAGTGAGCTAGTGAGCGCTGACTTTTATCGGCGGGCGCCATCGTGTTTAGCACTGATGGGGGCAGTGGCAGCAACAGCAGCCAACAGCAGCATCAGTAGCAGCAGCACTTTCACTTTAAAGTGGATCATTCTTTCAGTTTCATTCTTTTCACTCGTCGATAGCCTACTATTATTCCTTAATGTGGCCTCTGTCTGCTGTGCAAGCTCATCCTGTTTCTGTCTGGTCTGTGTGTTAGCAGTGGCAATGGCAGCAACAGCAGCTTTTGCGTCAATATTACCGTCGGTAGCATCGCGTATTATTTATGGCGATTATTAATAATCATTGCGAAAAGCGTCGGCCACTACTGCCACCATTACCACCATCGCCTACAACACCGTTAGGCGAGGGCACGGACGACGACGACGAAGCGATGGCGGTTTCATTTCGTAATTAATGCAAAGGCGCACTCAAACGAAGAGAACTGCATCAGCAGTGCACTTCAATTGTTGTTGATGGCACTGCAGCCAGAGAGGGTGAAGGATAAATTATTTTAATTAAGAGAGATGAGCTGATGAGGACAGTGGCGGAGGAGGAAGAGGAGGAGTAAGAGAGGGACAGTGCGGCCTGTGGAGAGGGCCCTAGCTCTCTGAAAGAACAGTGCTCTGTGCTGCATCACTGCAAGATGAAAGGGGACACACAGGCAGTAGACAGTGGGCCAACCTGTCTTTCCTTTCTTTCTCGAATAAGAGAAGAGGAGAACAAGACGAGGACATTGGTGCAGTGTAGTGGATTACTCATCGTCATCACCACCACCACCACCACCATCATCACTCGGCATCTCATTAAGGCACGTTGTGCAAACAGCGATAAAGCCACACAGACAGACAGTCAGAGAGTGGGTGCTGGAGACATTTACACACAGTGTCGTCCTCCTCTTATTCCTCTCTTTCCATTCTTTGCAATTAATCTTCTCAGGGTTGCAGTGCTGCACCAGTGCAGGGCAGATGCGTCTCTGGCTTTTTGTTGCTGCTGCTGCTGATGTTACTATTTCACTAGCAGCTGATAGTTAGAAAAGCTTTTTTGCTAGCTTGAGCCTCATTTGCGATTAACTAATTTCCAAAATGCCTTCTTGACATTTTACAAAGTGTGCTGTCAGTGCCGAGTGTGTCAGTTTAATTGCCAATGTTCACTCTGTGTCTCAGTGTGTTGTTACAGTTCACACACAGTCCTTTGCTGCAGTGTCGGGTTAATCAATCAAAGTCATCATCGTAAAAGCACTGACAGTGAGCACAGCCTTTGCACCAAATCAGGCATTCAGCTTTTATGAACTCTAGTATAAAACTGTAGTGCACTTGATGTGATGGCAGTCAAATCAATAGACAGCGGTGATCATTGCACGATTATTGACAAACTCTAGTTGTGTGAATATTTCCAATTGTCAATGCAACACTACGGTGTGTAGACTTGCAATGTCAGTTTCAAACACACAAATGCAAAACAACATGAAAAAACATTGGTGCCAAAAAGGAAAATTTTTAAAACAGCAACTTACATGAGGCTGGCTAATTGATCGCTCTCGTTATCGATCATTCTGATTTTTTTTCACTGTTTCGGCAAAGTTGCAAAGAGTTAAAAGNACATTGGTGCCAAAAAGGTAAATTGTTAAAACAGCAACTTACATAAGGCTGGCTAATTGATCGCTCTCGTTATCGATCATTCTGAATTTTTTCACTGTTTCGGCAAAGTTGCAAAGAGTTAAAAGTTCAAATCATATTGGACAACTTTGAAAAAGAGTTGGCTGCGAAAGGCAAAACTTGTGCGTTTGCAGTTTGAAGGAAAGAAGCTGAAAAGCAGGGAGTAAAGGTGTGCTTCACTTCAGAGCACTTTTGTGACGTGCTCGTTGCACAAATTAAAATGGCGTTTTTCGTTTGCCAAACAGAGAGGCACTATTTGAATTTTGTAATCCTAAAATGATTAAAGAGTCTGTCGGTGTGCCTTGATGGCAGAACACGATTGCACATCGACCAGTGCAATGTGACAAATGAGGGATGGCTGCGATAATGGCTTTTACAAAAAAACATTATTTTGGTTGAAAGTTGAAGTATAAGTAGCAGATTTTCAGCAGGAAACACCCACAAAAAATTGCAGTTGTGGTGATGAGGGAGGCTTTTTCACCAGCATTGAACATTCAGTGTGACCGGCGGCAGCAGTTTTGGCAACTGGCATTGGCCAGCGTCGTTGGCCAGCCAAACGGTCACACAGCTTTGGCACGGTAAGCATATTTGCTTTTGGCTCAGTCACTGAAGGCCAGCGATCTGCATCTTCACCTCGGTGCATTCGATCAATTCAATAGCGAGAGCATAAAGAAGAAGAAGAAGTGCAGAGCAAACAATTTTTGATTGCTTTCTTGGCCGACNATGGCTCAGTCACTGAAGGCCAGCGATCTGCATCTTCACCTCGGTGCATTCGATCAATTCAATAGCGAGAGCATAAAGAAGAAGAAGTGCAGAGCAAACAATTTTTGATTGCTTTCTTGGCCGACGCCGGAGAAAGGGAGCAAAAAAAGATGATTGTAGCCTTGTGCAGTGCAATTGGTCAAGGAATGATGAGTTCGGCAGCGGTGATGATGGTGATGATGATGATGATGATGGTGATGATGTTGCTGGTGTTGCTTAGTTCAAATGTTGTGATGAAAGGTGCTGATGAAAGCTTTCATTTTTGTCATTTACTTTTTCTTTTCAATCATCCGAGGTGTGTGTGTGCTTGTGATATCCCCTTTCCACCGGTAGAATATTCTGTGGTGTTTGTGCGTGCGTAAATGCGAATGTGAATGTGAGCGTGTGTGGGTGAGCAAAAGAAGAAGGAAAAGAATCGCTGTCGATCGGTCGTCGCTGGCTATTCGATCGAAGTGAACAGTCCTGCTGATCACATTCAAATGTGCGGCAGCAGCAGCAGTAGCAGCTCTTTCTCTTTCCTGCAATTCTCGTAGTAAAGTTGGTTCTCTTCTTTCCTTCTTCTACTTCTTCTTCCTCCTCTCTTTCGCCGACGTCAAACTGCAACTGTGCAATGCACACCCGCGTGCCAGTCAACTCGCCCTGAATCAAGCCAACAGAATCAGCAGCAGGGCCATTATTGGCCACTGTAGCAGACCAGGGAGAGAGTTGTACGACGGCGGCGGCGGTGGCAGCAGCAGCAGCAGACAGCTAGCAAAACTGCGCCTAGCCAAACTGAGCCACCGTCTCTGTCGTCAGTGTATACGGTGGCGGCGGCGTTCGGAAACTTTACTCCTCATTCTCTTTCTCTCTTTCATTCTCTTCTTTGCTCCAAGATCGTCGAGTTCTGCCGCTACGATTTATTTTAATAATTCTCTTTCCTTCTCTTTTGGTTCACTCAGTGGTGNTGAGCCGCCGTCTCTGTCGTCGGTGTATACGGTGGCGGCGGCGTTCGGAAACTTTGCTCCTCATTCTCATTCTTTCTCTCTTTCATTCTCTTCTTTGCTCCAAGATCGTCGAGTTCTGCCGCTACGATTTATTTTAATAATTCTCTTTCCTTCTCTTTTGGTTCACTCAGTGGTGGTGTGTGGTTGTGTCTCGTTCATTCACAATATATTTCAGACCAAGGAGCAGCAAGGTTCTTTGGCGCGTAAAAGTCGACGTCTTCGAATACGACGATATATAACAGCACTTTCAAAGTTGTCGTTTCTGCAGATGGCCAGCGGTGGCTGTGGAGGAAGGTCGCTTTTTGCTTTCTTGCCTTCGCTGTCTTCTTATACTCTTCACGTTTGTTTCACGGTTAATAGATTTGCCCAGCGGTAAATGAAAACAAATCAGCCGTCGTAAATGACAAACAGGCAGTAGTGCAGTAATGCAAACCGCCAAATACTTTCTCTCTCTCTTTCAGTTCAGGTCACTGTGTCGCATCACTAGGGAGACTATCACCATTAAAACTTGTAGAATGCAGAAAGGGGAGAGGAAGAGTATAGTAAAAAGTAGCCCCTTTTTGAATGACATCGAATCAATTTGAATTTGAATGACAAAGCAATTGAAGGCCACCGACACACACGGGCACAGTAAACAGGAACACACACAAAGCAAACGGGCACCCACTGATGGCAAGTGGGCCATTACCAGGCGATTTGCCTGTGATTTGGCGGTGGTGAGAATATAAATTAAAGATGAATTTGCACTCTCTCACTCCTCTTCACAATTTCACAGCAAAGTGCCCTGTTCTGCAAACACATTGACGAGGATGAAGAAGAACTTAATCTTCTCCTAATGGCGAATGAACATTGAGCAGCAGTGAAATATTGAGACGTGCCAGTGTTGGAGGCCATTTGCCAGTGCAGCTACGGGAACAAGTCATCATTTGGGATGTCAGACGCCTCACTCACTGGCAAAACACTAGAGCAACAGTAGCTCTTGAAACAACAGCAACAACAGCAGTTAACTGCTGCAGGTTCGCATAATTTACGAGATTAAGTCGCCCACTCTTCTTTCTCCTTCTTAAAACAATGCCGATTGAGTGCCAGACGGGAGTTGCATCAGGAGCAACAGCAACAGCAGGTTCTGTTTCAGTTTTCTGCTCTTTTGCTTGCTTCACTTTTGCATTCCACAGCACTTCAGTAAAGCCAAGTTGGTAAAATTTCTGTTAGTCTTGCGAATATTTACCGTCGCCTATAAAAAAAGTGCTGCTGCGACAGAGCCATAGATCGACAGGCATGGTAATGCCTGGATGGCACTGTCTGGCGCAGCAAATAGTAATCGATCGAGCTTGCGCTTTGTTTGTTTGCGCAAAGTGCGCCCAGTGGCCTCGTTCCCTCGATTAAGGCCCCTCTGATCGAGTGCCAGCCCAGCAAATCAAATTGGACCCAATCTAATCCTAATGTGATTGCACAACACACACACAACATACTCACATACACAAATCACACGAATCACAAAACATCGAACACAAACCCACACACAGGGCGCAGACAATCGTTCAGACTGCCCCTGCTTATTACAGCCATTGCCATTCCTGCTTCGATCAGACTGCCGCAGTAGCCATTAAAATGTTTTCAGCTCTACCCAGTCATTGAGAACTTCTCTTCATCATTCTACTTCAATAGCCTAATTTGGACATACTTTTGATCTTGCTCTCACAGACTGGGCAGCTCACATACTCTCCCGCTCCCGCTCTCTGCAATTTTGACATTGCCACTTTGCAATTCACGGCCGATTGGTTGCTGCTGTTGCTTCAACTCCCCTACATCGGTCTGGTGAAAAACTCGAGTTTGGTAAGTTTGTGGCGAGAACCATTAGTAGAAAACTTTTATTTCATCAAATATTGAAGGTGCACTTCCATCAAGTCAACTGCAGACGCAGCAACGGCATTGCCAATCTTGCCCTAAATCTCTTTCTCGGTGATTGAAGTGAATTTGCAGACGCTGAATTTGCTAGAAAAAAAAGAAACATCGCTTTTACCAAGCCAAAACACATGCATTACTGGAGAAAAAGAGAATGGAAAAGAGAAAAATAAATGAGACTGAATGTCAGTGATTTGCAGCAACCTCAATTTTCTGTCCGATGACTGCACACCGATAAAGGACGTAATTAAACGTGAATCTGGAAGATGTCACTCCGTTCTCTTTCTGTTTTTCTTTTTTGCTTTTTGAGCATCATTTGCATAGTGCATTTGCATGGCCATTAATTGTCTTCAGTCATCGCTTTTTGTGCTCTGCTACTCTCATCCCTCATTACTGCCACACTCAAGTGAAGTGATTTGCCTTTTCTTCATATCATCCTTTTTCTCCTTAACTACTTATGGCCAAAAATTAATTTAAAGATGCACAGAGACTCGTTAGCGTCCACAGACAAAGACACATTGGCTGGTCGATCTGGAGGGATAACTGGTGGCAAGCAGCAGTCCATTGTGGAGTGCTGCATGACACTTTGCTGATGCTTTGACAAGCTGCTGCACACTTCACTGCAGGCAATTTATGCAGACACACACTGTGAATGCAGTTTAGCGGCATACGGCTCGCTAAACAGCAGAAAAAGGGGCTGAAACAGCTAATTAGATGTCGATCGTGTTTGCCAATTAATCAATCATTCAGCTACTCAGCCGTTGCTGGAAATGCTGATGACAGAAAAGGCACACTGGTGGTCGCTTTGTGGCGAGGCATATCTAGTGAGACTTAGGCAGAAATCGTCGTTTTTGAAATGGCACAAAACACACCGTCCGACAGTTTTGACTGGTAATCTAATGCTCAAGTAGTGTTGTCTCGGTGTTTGCATGTTTGCAAATCACATTAGATGGCGGAAGGGAATATGGTTGGCTGTTTATCTCTCTGGCACATTTGATGTCCATTTTAAAAATAATGATGACTAGTTGAGCACTACTACTATTACTGCAGCAGCCATCAGGGTCATCACTACCAACTACTATAACAGTGATGACAACAAACTGTGATGAAGATTACCCCTATGACAGCACAGATGGTTGCACTAATTAATTGACGATACAGACAACTTTGCACACAAGGGCGATGTTTACTTTGCGTCAATAGGAGCAGTTCCCTGCTTTTATGTTTGCCAAGAATAAAATCAAAA